GTGTGTGTGTGTGTGTGCTGTGTGTGTGTGTGTGTGCGTGTGTGTGTGTGCGTGTGTGTGTGTGTGTGTGTGTGTGTGTGTGTGTGTGTGTGTGTGTGTGTGTGTGTGTGTGTTCCTCTTGTCAACCACCGGGCCACTTACGACCACCCTAGGGGACACAATAACCCCGTGGACCATGAGCATGACACCCCTGGGGTATTTCATTCATTACAAAAACACAACAATAGAAAAAAATGGAAGAGTGTAAAGGTGCTGTCACACTACCACTTTTTCCGTCAATTTTTTTTTCTGAAATTTTGTCCATTTTTGACCGAATTGTCGATTTTCCAGTCAGACGATAATGATCGTTTCCGTCTGAAAACCTTTCCGTCAACTTTTTCAGCCAAGCATAGTCAAATCAAGAGTTATATTCGAGAATGTTTGTATTTATGTTAAATAAAATTATAAAAAATGACGGAAAAAGTGCTAGTGTGACGCGGCTTTAAGTGATAATCTTTTAAGACGAAGGACTGGCTTAATCATGTAAAACGGCCGACTGTGAGACTGAAATAGGAAACGTGTTGCTACTGGTAATAAGGATGGTAATAATAAGAATAGTACCGTAAAACATATGCAAGATTCTGTGATTGAATAATAGATAGTGTAACTTTAGGTCTCGATGAATAAGAAACAGGTGAAGGGGAAAGGAGAGAGGAGGGAAGGAAAGGAGAGGGAAAGAGAAGGGAGGGAGGGGAGAGAGAGAGGAGGGAGGGGAGTGAGAGAGAAGGGAGGGAATTGAGAGAGGAGGGAAGGGAGAGAGAGAGTGAGAGAGAGAGAGAGAGAGAGAGAGAGAGAGGAGGGAGGTGAGAAAGAGAGAAGGGCGGAAAGGGAGAAGGAAAGATTCTGTGATTGAATTATAGATAGTGCAACTTTAGATCTCGATGAATAAGAAACAGATCCCCAGATAAAAGAAAGAAAGAAAAAAAAAATTATGACTTAGATGAATACATTGAGAAAGTATATAATATACGATACATAAAGAAAGACAAAAGACGAGAGTGTAAAAGATACAGATTAAAATTAGAAAATATAAAACAGAATAATGATTATGATAATAATAATGATGATGATGATAATAGTAAAGTAATGATTATGATAGTAATAATGATGCAAGTAAATGATAACAGTAATGATAATAATAATATTTATGATAATTAGCATGTTAATAACAGTAACAAAAGCAATAATGATGATTATAATGATAACAATAATAATGATGATGATTATGATGATAACAATAATAATGATAATAATGGTGACAACAATGATAATGATAATGATGATTACATGATAATGATTATAACAAGAATGATGATGATTATGAAAATAATGGTGATAACATGAATAATGATAGGATAATGATAACAACAGTAATAGTGATAACAATAACAGTAGTAATAATAATAATAAATTTGATATTAATGAAATTTAATGAAATTAACAATAGTTATAATGATAATGATAGTAAGGATAATGACAATGATTTGATGATAATTATGAAATGATGGTAACAATAATGATACTGATGATAGTAATAGCAATATTGATAATGATAATAATAATAATAGTATCAATGATGATAGTAAAAAAATATTACCAATAATAATAATAATGGGAGTGAAGGTAATAATAGTCATAATACTAATACTAATAATTATGATAATGATAACAATAATGATAACGATGATAATGATAAATAATGACGATGATAATGATAACAATAATGATAACGATGATAATGATAACAATAATAACGATGATAATGATAACAATAATGATAACGATGATAATGATAACTGATTATAAATAATGATAACAATATTGAGAACGATAATAATGATAACTATGATTATGATAACGATAACAATATAGAGAACGATAATATATAAACGAATGAAGAACAATATAGAGAACGATGATATACAAACGACTGAATAACACAAAAAAAAGAAAAAAAAAAAGATTAATTGAGAAGTTCCTTGACGCAAAGCATTAAAGTCCAAAGTATCTTGTTGAATATGGAAAGTTAGGAAAGGCAAAGGCTCTGAGGGTGAAGAGGGGGTGGGGGGGGAAGAGGAGAGGGAGGAAGGGGGGAGAGGGGAGGTGAGGTGAAGGGAAGGGGCGAGGGAAAGAGGGGAGAGAAGGGGAGGTGAGGTGAAGGGGGAGGGGAGGGAAAGAGGGAGAGAGGTTGAGGGAGGGAGGAGAGGAGAGAGAAGGAAGGGAGGGGAGAGAGGAGTTGAGGGGAGGGGGAGGTGAGGTGAAGGGGAAGGGGAGAGGGAGAGGGGAGAGAGGTTGAGGGAGGGAGGAGGAAGGGAGGGGAGAGAGAGGGAGAGAGGAGGGGAAGGACGGATTGATGGGAGGGAGGGGAGGGAGAGAGGTGGGGAGGGGGGGTTGAGGGGAGATGAGGTGATGGATGAGGATGAGGATGGGGAATAGGTAGAAAGATGGAAGGAAGAGGTTGGGGAAGATAAGGGTAAAGAGAGGGAAGGAAGAGAGGAGGGAGAGAAGAGAGAGTGAGGGGAAGGAGTGAGGAGGAAGGATAGGTTGTGTGGCGAAGGAGAAGAAGGAGAGCGAGAGCAAGAAGAAGAGAAAGAGAGTGAAATTTGATGTGGAAGGTGAGGATTAGAAGAGAAATAAAGGATTAGAAGAGAATGTGAGGATCAGGAGAGAGAATGAGAAGTGTTCATGAAAGGGGTATGGAGAAAGGATGAAAATGAAGGGGAGGACAGAAGATAAGGATAAAGATTAGGAAAAAAATAGAGAGAGGAGGGTGAAGAGGACCGAGGATGAAAGAGGAGGCGGAGGATGGGCGGTAGAAGGAGGGAGGAGGGAGGAGTAAAGAGGAGGAGGGAGTCAGAGAAAGATGAAAGGGAAAAAATCAAAGGAGCTGGCGGTTGGGACCAAGACGTAAGATAAAAGAAGATAAGGCAAAGGAGAGATAAGATAAGAAGGAGAA